ACAAGAAAAGTATAGTTGCAAAACACTCCCTATTTTCAACACATCAATCATTTCTTCTCTAATTGAATTTCAAACCACCATATCAAACTTCACACATGAGACCACCACGTCACACTTGAACTCCTCTCAAGTTTCAATAACGAAGGATCAACTTTTGAACAACAGCTAGCACACATCTAAGCATCAACATAGAACCATGTTTTAGAATCGTCACAACAAAGACAATGTAAGAGAAGGTAATTTTAAGTCTACCAAAGTATATGAAAAACCTTAGACGAATACAAAAACCTCAAAGGATATTCAGTGATGAATTAGAGGCAATTATGTTTCTTAAGGAAGGCACAGGAAAGTATGAATTTATAGAAAACCATGCACCAAAGGTTAGGGGACAAAAAAGTTAAGGTAAAAATTTTGTGTTCTGCTTTTTTGAAAAGAATCTTTTAGACCACAAACAAAGTAAAACAACTTTTCTAGTACATCAAATTATACGACAGGTGTAAATGGACCACAAAAAATATCTTAAAAGAGAATATATTTTCCTCTTTGCAAATCAAGTGCAATATGTGCTTTGTGAAAAAAATATCTGTCAGATGCGTTGTAACCACACATACTCTGAAGTGCCCATACGAGAACAAAAATTGACAAAAATACTTACAAACCACAATCAATATCACTCGTATTTATACGATTCTCCAAAATTTATTTTATCCATTGAGACATCGATTCCAATTAATAAGATAAAATTCAAGGATACAAGAAATCAAAGATTATCTATGTTGATGGGCCTTTCTCATCAATATATTTCGTGCTCTCACTTCGCGATCACCATATGTTTAACCGCTTTTTGATTAGAAACCTTAAGGTTTGCTTTTATTGTAGGGCTTGGGACTCGTATGGGAATAATTCTGTTGAAGATAGAAATAAGTATCTTCTTGATGTAACTCCGTTCGCTCTATAGTTTGGTTAAAGCGATTTAGATCTCTGTGTTAGTGAATCGATGATGATACTGATCCATGTACTAATTTTGAGCTACTCATAATCTAACTTTCAAAACATCTTCTTCGAACTCATACAGGTCACAGACTGACAAGTCAAGATTTATTGGATATGGTCTATATATGAATCATGGCTCTATAAATTCAACAAAAAGACTTTGTCCTCTCCGCTTTGATTTCTAAGGATGTGGAGCTTGTTTCTTCACGTCACTTAGGTAAATATTATCATAATAACTTATAAGTATGAGTTATTTAGATATTATGCTAGTGTGGTGGTTAAGGGTCCGTTTGTTTAATTATTTTTGCACTATCCTACCATACACAAAATACCATTTGTTTCTCTATTCTGAAAATCCTATTTTATTTTATTCAATTATTTTTAAACCCCCTAGTTTGTTAATTTAACTAAACACAAAAAAAAAAAAAAAAAAAGTTTAGAAATTGACAAAAACACCCCCACCCACCCACATTTCTAGATTCCAGCCACTACCGCTAAAATGTGGCTGGAATCTGGTATAATAGCGTACTACCAACTGGATTTGGCCAGTAGTGCACCGATCTATCATTTTCTGACCAGATCCATTGTGGATTTGGTCGAAAAATGTCAGATCTACGACCATCTTTGACAACTAAACATGGCTAGATATGGATGTCAACGGCCAGATCTAGTCGTAGATTTGACATTTTCCATGGATCTGCCTAGAAAAGGCCATCTCGGTGCACGACTGGCCAAATCCAGCCAGTCGTACACTGATACGATGACTCCGGCCACCCTCTGGCGGTGGTGGCTGGCTGCCAATATTTAATGGGTGGGTTGGGGTGTTTTTATAATTTTCAATGTTTTATTATTGGGGTGTTTAGGAAATTAACGAACCTAGGGGGTTTTTTTGTTCATTTTTAAATCCTACCTTGTTATTCCCACCCAACTCTTACTTTTTCAAAAATACTATCCAAAATACTAAAACAAATGGACCCTAAGTTATAAGTCTGTCTCGGTTGCTAATAGGGATAGTCATTGGAGTTTTTATCTAGGTGATAGTTTCAAGATCCCAAGGGATTAGTTGAGGTGTACATAAGTTGACTCGGATACTCCCGATCATAAAAAAATAAAAAAAAATAAAAAAAACTTAAAAGTCTGAAAGTAAATACACATCTTTGTAGTTTCAACTAGTTTGCTAAGGGTTTTTCTTTTTTCCTTCATTTAATTTATATATACAGTAGAATCTCTCTATAATGATACTCTATATAGGAATAACCCCCATATAGTCATAAAAATTTTTGATCCAACTTAGGCTAATTATAAATAAGAATAAATTTCGTATTGTAATAAATTATAATTTCTCTAGGCCCCGTTTTAAGGAACTTTCTTTTACATAGTAATAATTATATGTTTATTGCAAAAAATATATGTTATGTTACATTAAAGATTTAAGATAAAATAAAATATTTATCTAAAGTTGTTTGAGACAATGATTTATAATTTAGAGTTGTTATCACATCTTTTATCTTGCGAGTACATAATAAGTCGCCAGTATGAACACCTTTTTTGTTGAAGCCAAAATTTTTCTAGCTTCTCAAGCATGTTTAGAGTTTTTTGGCATGAAACTTTTTGTATTTCGTACTATCATCCTCAGGATTATCTCCTTCCTCTGCTTATCTAATTTCAGTAATGATTTCTTCTTCAGTTAAAACATACACAACTTGTTGCTCATTTGTATGATCGAGGAAGACATTAATATCCATTTGATTAGTGTAGTGAAGTTGTTGAATTTTATCACTCAAATCTATAATGACTCTTTGATTCTCCACTTCATTTGTAACTTGCAATTCATCACATCAGGGGTCCTAATTTTATAGTGCTTAAAACAATTGGCAATTGTCATTGGCTTCACATCAATTGACCATGTAACAACTGCATTTACAATTCCATCAAGGACATTTATCTTTTCTGGTTTCAAGATACGATCTTCTATCTGTTTCAAAAGTAGGCGATTAAAGCACTAACAATAATAACCTTTGAAATTTCTAGTGATGCCTGCATTACATGGTTGGATTTTGGAAGTGTTAGCTGGTGGTAGGAACAAAACAAAAAAATCCTAATGCTACTAAAACAATTAATTGAAATCCTAATACTACTAAAACATGAGTTGTAAAATAAGAAATCAAGTAATATTCTTATATCATGAAAAGTAAATAAGAAATCCTACTACTAAAACATAAATTATAAAATCAGAAATTAAAACAATAATTCTTATAACTATACCTCTATTAAATTATAATTTGCTCATAGTAATAAATTTAGTTGGTTACAATATTATGACTATAGAGAGGTTTTACTGTATTTTGTTTTCTGGTTCTTGTTTTTGTTGAGTAGTGCAAAACAAAATACTTTACGTAACTAAGATCATCTCCAAATGGTTATTTATATGACCAAAACTTCTTATTATAAAGAGTTTATCCATAGAAACAAGAGTCTAACAGACTTTTTATTCTTTAAATATAAATTAAAGAGTGAGTTTGACTCTCCACATTTATTAGAGAGTCAAATTCTACTCTCTATCCTAATTTTAAATAATAAATTGCAAGTTTCTATGTATTTTATTTATGATTTATCTCTCCTATTAAGTTTCTTTCTTGAAAAAATTATTCTCTCTCCTAAAATTTAAAAAGTCTATTAGATTTGAATAAAAATTTTGTTCTTTATATTTAAAAATCAATAAAGATGCTCTTTATTTATATAAAAGACGCTCTTTAAAATAAGAGCTCTATTGAAGATGCTCTAACACATAATTCACTAATTGAAGTCTATGAATAATTGAATTCTATGAACTTTCCCTATAAAAACCCTCACCTTCACTATTTCAAATTGAACCGTTATATACTTTTCTCCCTGTTGAGAAAAGTCTTCATGAACAACACAGAAATTCTAAAAAGAAATTGTTTGATTAAGGGATTTGATCTGAATCCATTTGGAGGTGGGTAAGACTATCTCCAACCCATTGCACCAATTTGGTGCAAATTTTGGTGCAAAACACTATTCCAAAGGAAAAATGATAAAGAAGTTTTAAACAGTTTTAAAGCTATTCAAGAAGAAAATCGACAGCTCGCTGCTATTTTCAATCAGGGCAACTCAGCTAGGGCACAAAATTATGAAATCCAAATGAGAAAATTGGCTTTGGCAGAATATCGAGAAGATAACAAAATTTTATTCAAGGATTTGAATTCTATAACCGATCCAAGCCTACGTGAGTTTTTTCAAAATGAGCAATAAAGAATTATGCAAAAAAGAGCTCAACAACAAGGTCAAGGATCTCAAAATAACTCAAGTTCTTTTCAATATTTTGATGATCTTACTGAATCTGGAACTAATCTACCGGAATACTAAATTGTTATTTTAGTTTATGTTGTATTTTCTTTTAATTTTAGTGTTTTTAAATTAGTGTTAATTTTTATTTTGAGTTATTGTAGTTTAACATTTGCATTGAATAAAGTTCTATTTTTTATTTTTCATCATTGTTTTAATTATATCATTATTATGAATTTATTATTATAAATAATAATCAAATTAAATTAAATACAAATAATCAAATTTGATGTGATTTTTGGTATAAAATTTAATACTTAAATTAACTTAACAAAATTAAAAAAACAAAAAAAAGCAAAAAAAATTATTGACGCTACAGTATCACGCCATTTTGGCGTGGCACTTTGGCGTGGGTTGGAGATGCCCTAAGTAACTGGGATGTGTTCAAAGCAGAATTTAAGATACTTGTCGGCAGGCCAAGTCAAAGTCCAATATCATTTTTTTTCCTTCTTCTAACAATTAATAAACATTAATTTGTCCTTTTCAAACTATTTTATAATACATGTAAGTATCATAAATATAATAACACGTGATTTTAATCAAGGGCCAATTCTCCTTTTTTTTTTTTTTTTTTTTTATTTCCCCTCCTATTGATTTCCAAACTCTATATAAACCATTGAGCAACATGACACAAAAATACAACCAAAGATAACTACTATAACAGCGAACCTTACCCATGGCTCACTACATCTTTTTCCTCTCTTTAATATTAACTACACTAGCAACTATGCAAGGTTGCCATGCAGTTGACTACACCATCACAAACACCGCCGGCACAACTACTAGTGGCGCCCGCTTCGGCAGCCAAATCGGGGCTGATTACAGTAGGCAAACACTAGCATCCGTTACGGATTTTATATGGAGAATCTTCCAGCAAAACAACACGGCTGACAGGAAAAGTGTAGAGAAAGTCAGCTTGTTTATCGACAACATGGACGGGGTCGCATATGCAAGCAACAATGAAATTCATGTTAGCGCGAATTATATAGGAGGTTATTCGGGTGACGTCAAAGGAGAGATCACTGGAGTACTTTATCATGAGATGACACATATATGGCAATGGAATGGGAACGAACAGACTCCTGGAGGATTGATTGAAGGGATTTCGGATTACGTGAGGTTGAAAGCTAACTATGCGCCTAGTCACTGGGTGCAACTATTGATGCAGTGATGCCTTGCTGGAAATGCATCAAATACTCAAGTCTGCAGGATTGTGTTCTGGAAAAAATGCAGAATGGTTCATGCAGCAATGACTTAACGTGCATGGGAGAGTTTTTTGTGTAATTGGTTATCTTGTTTTAAAGGGTATTTAAGTAAGTTCATTAGAAGTAAGTTTACTGTAATGTTGTGTTGAAATTTGAATTTGAAAGCTGTAACTTCTGCTGTAGTAGGTGTAATTAGTAGAGAGTGGATATGTGTTATATATTGTTTCTTTAATGAAAGGTCTGAAGCTTTTGCAAAAATAGTTTTTGGTGCTCTTTTTTTATCTCTCTCTCTCTCTCTCTCTTAATGTTCTTAGGCTGAAACCTACAAATGGTATCAGAGCCATCGCAAAAAACCAGAAACTTAGCATCCTAAACCTTTCGTTTACAACTCAAAAACACACTCCATTCTCAGCAAAAACTAACCTGCATCTGCCTTCCTCTTCTCTGCATCAGACGTGAAAAATAGAGCATGACAACACAATCTGCATTGATGGCTCCACTGGTGTCCAATGGAGAAAATTACCACATCTGGGCAGTAAAGATGAAAGCCTTCCTTCGTGGACAGGACTGTGCAGTATGTGGAAGAAAACCAGCAGCCACCACCACTTGGACAGAATCCCACGTTGAACCAGTTGAGGATGCATGAGGAAGAAACAGCCAAAGCTCCGAGAGCTCTTTCTCACTACATGCTGCTGTGACTGACCTTGTTTTTATAAGAATCATGGCATACGAAAACCCCAAAGAAGCATGGGATAAATTGAGAGAAGAGTACATGGGGAGCAATACAACAAGGAATATGCAGATTCTTAATCTAAGGAGGGAATTTGAGATGCAAGAATGTAGGAAACTGAAAAAGTAAAGGATTATGTTGATAGACTAATGAATGTTGTCAACAAAATCAGGCTTATGGGAGTGGAGTTGGCTGACCGAAGGGTTGTGGAAAAGGTTTGGTAAGTCTCGGAAAGATTTGAGGCCAAAATTTCTTCTTTGGAGGACTCTAAGGACATGACTCAGATCATTGACTGAGCTTGTTCATCTCTCAAGCGCAAGAACAAGGAGACTCATGAGGCAAGAAGACATTAGTGAGGGTGCATTGGTTGCAAGCTTCAAAGGCAAACCTGCACAGACACAAACAAGGAAGTAGCTAGAGATAGAAAGGGGAAAGAGAAGAGAGTAATCAGTGGGAAAGGGCTGGTGGAGTGAAAGAATTTCCAGCCTGTACTCATTGTAAAAAGAAAGGGCATCCGGAGAGAAGATGCTGGTTCAGGCCTGGTTACAGTGCAGGAGTTGCAAGCAATTCGGGCATATTGAAAGGGTGTGTAAGAACAAAGGAACCAGCCAACACAGCAAGCAGCAGTTGGGGAGGATCAGCAACAATGTCAAGAGGCTGAACAACTTTTGTGGCCACTTGTTACAGGCACAACCAGCAGTGAAGCTTGGTTAATTGACAGCGGCTGCACAAATCATATGGCTGCGACTTGCAAAACTTTGTGAACCTGGATAGATCATATTGCTCCAGAGTAAAGATAGGAAATGGTGAGCTCATGAAGTCAAGGCATGGGGGATGTTGCTGTCCAAACTTGGTCAGGTACAAAGTTAATCTCTCTGTGTTGTATGTTCCTGACTCAGCCAAAATTTATTGAGGGTGGGGCAGATGTTAGAGAAGGGTTTTCATTACATTTTGAGGATCAGCTTGTACCATACTTGATTCTAAAGGAGCTGAATTGATGAGGGTAAAGATGCAAAGGAAAAGTTTTCCAGTTGAGTGGAAAACCACCAATGAATCTGCCTGTAAGTAGACTGGAGGAGTCCGAAACTTGGCACAAACGGCTTGGACATTACCACTATAATGGCCTCAAGGAGTTGAAGAATGCAAACATGGTAGTGACCTACCAGAAATTGAGGAGGAGAGCACATTGTGCAGTGCATGCCAAATTCGAAAATTGAGAGACCTGCGTTTCACTCGGATCAGACCGGAGAGCAACAATGAAGCTTCAACTGATTCATTCAGATGTTTTTGATCATGCAAACAGAATCCTTGAGTGGAAGCAGGTATTTCATACTCTTTATAGATGATTATACACGGATGACATGGGTGTATTTTTACAGCAAAAGTGAGGTTCCTGCAGTGTTTAGGAAATTCAAACTGTTAGTAGAAATGAAGCTGGAACAAAGATCAAATCATTGAGAACTGACAACGGAGCAGAGTATACTTCAAGGGAATTCAATTCTCTTTGTTTAGAAGCTGGTATTAGGCATCAATTCACTACTCCATACACTCCACAGAAAAATGGAGTAGTAAGTGAAGAAGAAATGGACCATCATGGAGATGGCTAGATGCATGTTGGCAGAAAAACATCTTCCTAAGAAATTCAGGCTGAGGCTGTAAATACGGGAGTTTATCTTCTGAATAGGCTGCCAACCAAAGCAGTCAAAGGGAAAACACCAGCTGAGGCATAGACTGGAACTAAACCTACAATGGCTATTTGAGAGTGTTTGGAAATGTGTGCTATGTGATGGTTCCAGCAGTGAAGAGGACCAAGCTGGATAACAAAGCTGAAGTGGTATTTTCATTAGTTATAGCAACCATCAAAAGGATTCAGAGTGTACATTCCAAAGACAAAAAGAATTTGATCACCAGGGATGTGAGAATTGATGGAATGCAGTTTGGTGTTGGAGAGCAAGAAGATTATTGCTGATATAACACGCAACAACCAACCAAAGCTGCCCTAGATGAACATGAAACTGAAGAAGATGAAGAACCAGCGTTCGTGGAACCAGGACCTTAGCTGATGTTTTGCAAGGTGCAATGGCTGTGTTAGAACCTAAAACATATGTGAAGCTGCTGGATCAGAGGCCTGGAAAAGTGCTATGCAGGAGGAGATTTCCATGATTGAGAAGAACAACACCTGGAGGTTAGTTGAAAGACTTGAAAACAGAAGAATAATTCAGGTAAAATGGATTTATAAATTAAAGCTCAATCTGGATGGTACAATCCACAAACACAAGGCTAGACTCGTGGCAAAAGGATTTGCACAGCAACAAGGTGTGGATTACACTGATACGTTTGCTCCAGTAGCAAGACATGACACTATAAGGATGATCATAGCCATGGCAGCCTAATTTAGTTGGAAAATTTTCCAACTTGATGTCAAATCTGCCTTCCTAAATGGCTGCCTGGAAGAGGAGATTTCTGTGGACCAACCCGAAGGCTACCAAGTGAAGGGTGAAGAAAGCAAGGTATACATGCTGGTGAAGGCATTGAATGGTCTAAAACAGGCTCCTAGGGCCTGGTACAGCCGCATAAACGATTACCTTAACAGCTTGGGTTATGTAAGAAGTCCAAATGAACATACCCTTTATGTTAAAGAAGCTGAAGGTGATTTAATTATTGTGTCACTGTATGTGGATGACTTGCTAATGACAGGGAGTCATCCGGATTAGTTGAGCAAGTTCAAACAATCCATGAAATCTGAGTTTGAGATGACAGATTTGGGGGAGATGTCATACTTTCTTGGTATGCAGATTTTTCAGTCCAAAAATGGAATATTTGTGCATCAGGAAAAGTATGCAAATGAAATTCTCATAAAGTTTGGGATGGAGAATTGTAAACCTGCATGTACACCCTTAGTCTCTAACCTGAAGCTGAGCAAAAATGATAGTGAAAAAATGGTGGATGAGAGTATGTTTAGAGGCCTGATAGGATGCTTGTTGTACTTGACAGCCACACGTCCAGACCTGATGTTTGCAACGAGTTACCTCTCCAGATTTATGAGTTGTCCAAGTGAATCTCACTATAGGGCTGCAAAGAGGTTGCTAAGGTGTGTGAAGGGAACCTCAAACCTAGGCATTTGGTTTAAGAGAGCAGAAAAATTGGTTCTGCAGGGATACACAGACAGTGACTGGGGAGGTTCCTTAGATGACATGAAAAGTACCTCTGGGTATGTGTTTTACATCAATGAAGGTGCCATTGGTTGGTTGTCAAAGAAGCAAGACTCAGTGGCTCAGTCCACTGCAGAGGCAGAGTACATTTCTGCCGCAGCTGCTGTGAACCAAGCTGCTTGGTTCAGAAAAATCATGTCTGATATGAAGCAGGAACAAGTTAGGCCAACACCTATATTGTGTGATAATCAATCAGCAGTGGCAATGGCAAAGAATCTAGTTCTCCACGGCAGGACCAAACATATAAAGATTAAATTTCATGTAGTTAGGGAGGCTGAAAATGATGGGGAAGTGACTTTGCTGCACTGCCGGGGTGTGGATCAGATTGCAGACATCATGATAAGAGTTTACCTAAAGCCAAGTTTGAGGAACTTAGACTCAAACTTGGTGTTTCCAGCAAATGCATCAAGGGGGAGTGTTGATGCAGTGATGCCTTGCTGGAAATGCATCAAATACTCAAGTCTGTAGGATTGTGTTCTGGAAAAAATGCAGAATGGTTCATGCAGCAGTGACTTAACGTGCATGGGAGAGTTTTTTGTGTAATTGGTTATCTTGTTTTAAAGGGTATTTAAGTAAGTTCATTAGAAGTAAGTTTACTGTAATGTTGTGTTAAAATTTGAATTTGAAAGCTGTAACTTCTGCTGTAGTAGGTGTAATTAGTAGAGAGTGGATATGTGTTATATATTGTTTCTTTAATGAAAGGTCTGAAGCTTTTGCAAAAATAGTTTTTGGTGCTCTGTTTTTATCTCTCTCTCTCTCTCTTAATGTTCTTCGGCTGAAACCTACAGCAACCTGGTGAGGGCAACAAGTGGGATCAAGGCTATGATGTGACAGCCAGGTTTCTGGATTATCTTAACAGTTTGAGAAATGGATTTGTTGCAGAACTTAACACGAAGATGAGAAGTGGGTATTATGAAAGCTACTTCATGGATCTGCTGGGGAAGACGGTGGATCAGTTGTGGAGTGAGTACAAGGCCAAGTATGGAAAGTGACCAATCGAGTAGTCTAATTAATAAACCAATATATAAGATGTTTTAGAGAATAAAAGTCTGTCAAAGTGTCTGTTTTTATCCATATCAACTGTATGCATAATATAATTTCTAAATGAAAGTTCAATAAGAAACATTATGACTTCTTATTTAACTGAATATTCATTTTTGCAATAGCATCTGTTACAAAGATGAGATCTACAAACAACGACAATGATCAGCCAGTCATTTCGAAGACAAGGCACAAGATAGATAAGCCAAACCCATATATAAACTTAATTTGACGCACCATTTCATAATTTTCAAATAATTAAATTCACTATCCAGTTATGTTTTCTTATATACTGTATATTTTAAACGAGTGCTTTTTGGTTGGATTTCTGTCGTAAACCTTGTTATGCCCAAAAAAACTAGGGCTAATGTGAGCCCAAATCAGTAAGGACCAATCAAAATTCATGAAGGTTTTCTGCCGTCTAGATGCAGCCACGTCCCACAAGGATGAAAGAGGTAAGGCCATCATCAGTGAGGCAGGTGAACATCAAACTTATGAGTGGTTAGGAATTGTCTACTTCCTGAAGCCCTATGCGATTTAAAAATATCTCTCGTGCTGACAACCAATGGGAAATGGGTTAGGAATTGTACCACACCTACCCGCATGCAGAATCATGATTACCAGTTTGAATCCTCCAACTATAAATATAGGGCCCTCCTCTATTTTACGGGATTGGCTCATCCACCACTCAAAACATACACACACACACACACTCTCTCTCTCCCTACATTTATTTTCTCTATTGTAATCCAGCTTGCCGAGTGCGACCTGATTGTAATAACCCATTAATATAATCATAGTGGACATATGATTCGCCTTAGAGCATCCGAACCACTTTAAAAAGTGCTACTTGTTCAATATCTCTTTTCATACTTCCATACCACTTGTGATTTCTAAGTTCGCTTCACACAAATGAATAGTTGGTGTCAAAATCAAGCATCAATAGTTTGGCGCTAACAGGAGAGCCTGATTTAGTATCCGCTCTTCATCAGAAACCTCTCACTGATCTTGTCCACCAGCAAATGGCTCGTGGTTTTGAAACCGAGCGAACCAATATCGACAACGAGGAAATCCCCAAGGTATAGAATGACACTTCTCTTGAAGTGTTGCCAGTCCAACAGAGTATCATGGCAGATATTCCTTCAAGCTCACAGCTCAACCTGGCTGTGATGAATTACTTGGAGAGGTTCAACAATACTCTTCAAACGGTTAGTCGGAGGCTAGACTGTTTGGACTGGGTCGTGCCGCCAGAGTCTAACGAGGCGATACCGCTGCCAAAGACACCTGTAGGTCGCGCGAAAGCACAAAAAAGGGCAAAGGCATGTGCCGTGAACATTGTAGCGCATAAAAGTAAAGGAAAACAAGTGGCGAGCAGTGGACCAAAGGGGTTCGAGGGGCTGGCGAACACCAATCGCGCAATAGGTAGAATAATCGTGGCATTGCGACTTGGTGACATGTCGCAACATGAGCCATCCCACATCGCGTTGTATGGGCACAGCCAAAAAAAGTGCAGGGCGGGGAGATTCCTAGCCTCATCAAAATAATAGTCCCAACCATCGTCGTCGGGGTAACCCTCACCGTCAGTGGGTCGGTTCTGACCATCGCGGGGATCGAGAAAACTCCTCGAGCCATTCACTACTCTCACACGGCTCTAGCCAGCGTGTGTTATGGTATGTCAGAGGCTCCGGCCAAGCAGTGAAAAGGCCGGACCTTCGATCCTTCCTCAATCGCAACCGTGAGGGTCGAACCCATGTTGCAGAAAGTAACCCCCCCGATAGTTCCGCTATCTCAGATTAAGGAGTTGCAATGACAATTGGATCAATTCAAGGCTCAGCAAAACCAACAGGGGAAGGTCGCTGAGGCGTCTGCCTTTTCTCCAGCGATACTAGCTACTCCTCTCCCATCGAGATTCAGGATGCCCAACATGCGGGCATTCAACGAGAATTCTGATCCGCAGGACCACCTATACGAGTTTAATGACCTTATGGAACTCCACCAAGCCTTTGGCTTGGCCAAATACCGCTGCTTAGTAGTGATGCTAACTGCCCATGTTAAGCGCTGGTTCAGGTCACTCCCCGCGGGATCAATAAGCTCATGGAAAGAAATGAACTCGTTATTCTTGAGGCATTTGCAGGCAAACAGGAAGTTATCAATGCCGTTGAGCTATCTGAGCAATATATGGCAGAAGAGGGATAAGTCCCTCCAATCTTATATAGATAGATTTCACCGGGAACTCCATAAAGTGGCTTACACTCTTAAAGAGTCCATTCAGACTCTCATTATCATAGGGGTTCGCCCATAAATTGACTTATGGAAAGAGCTACAATCTGAGGACAATGTTTCCCTCACTCGCTTCTATGACCTCACCGAGAAGTATCTCCGAATAGAAAATTATGTGGCGGCTCTCAATCGCCACAACCCCGGTCCTTCAACCAGTGTTCCCGACTGGGGGGAGAACAGTAGAAAGGCTGATCGTGGTTGGGCTAATGATGATCAGCGTAAAGGAAAGAAGCAATGATTTGAGCCCATAAAGTCTTATGCCCCAATTCCTCGTTGCGATTGCGACTACACTCTTTTGAATGCCTCAGTATCAGCAATTCTAGATAAGTCAGAGGAGGCTAGCTTGCTCGAAGAACCGGAGCCCATAAAGAATCCCCCCTCACTTAGGAACAGGAAAAACTACTGCCGTTATCATCAGGACAATGGGCATCACACTGATGAGTGTCGGACCCTCAAGCAAGAAATTGAAGACCTCATCAAATAGGGGCATTTCAAGGAGTATATTGACGGTCTAACTCCTGTTTTGGGAAAAGGATCAAGAGGAACAAGGGAAGAAGCGTCGTGGTCGTATGGGGCTCTATTGTGTAGGGATCATTTTCGATAGGCCACATCTCGCGGGGAACTCTCAAGGTGCCTAGGAAAGGTATGCTCGGGAAGCTCGCCATGACCCCTTGAGTGTAATGAGCATGGCACCATGACTTGCTAAGATCCGTAGGGAAGAATAAATTACCTTCTTTGAAAAAGACGTAGTATGATTGCATCACCCCCACGATAATGCATTCATCATCACACCAGAAATAGGCTGGTATGAAGTCCACAGAATGTTGGTGGGCAATGGAAGCACTGCTAATATCCTGTTTTAACAAGCCTTCGAAAGAATGCAATTGGAAGAGGTAGACCTGAAGCCTGCCTCTTTCCCCCTCTATGGTTTTATTGGGGATCATGAAATTCCTAAGGGAACGATTGCACTCCCCATGACGTTGGGTGAAACCAACGAAATGACCAAGATGATGGAGTTCTTGGTGGTAGATTGTCCGTCCGCCTTCAATGGCATCCTGGAACGACCTCTGCTATGAAATTTCAAGGTTGTCACCTCTATCTACCATTTGAAGATAAAGTTCCCCACCCTAACGGGGATCAAGAAAGTGCAAGGATCTTAATGCGAATCTCGCGACTGCTACATAAGGGTAGTCTAACGGCGTGCAAGGGAAACGGAAAGCCAATAGGCTTCCCTAAGTAGGCCATGGCGATCAGCAAAATTGAGCCACGACCTAAACCAGTAGAGGACAACATCGATCCGCGCATCCAGGAGTACTTTTAGAGCGGGCCAGTTAAGGAACTATCTGATGTATCAGTTGATGAAAACAAGTTAACCAGAGTATTAAGAATCGGGAGTAATCTTAATCCCCAGCTCGCTAAAAGCCTAACAAGATCCTTTAGAGAGAATGTCTATGTCTTTGCTTGGACTCATGCTGATATGGTTGGGATCAACTAAAGTGTAATATGTCATGCACTAAACATTAATAGTGCAGTCAAGCCAGTTCGTCATAAGAGAAAAGCAATGGACCCTAAACGTTATGCTGCCAAAAAAGTGAGGTGGATAAGCTCCTCTTGAATGGGTCTATTCGAGAGGCGTTTTACCTGAGCAGGGTTGCCAATCTAGTCTTGGTAAAGAAGCCCAACGATAAATGGTGAACTTGCGTCGACTTCACTGACTTCAACAAAGCATGTCCGAAGGATAGCTTTCCCTTGCCAAGGATCGACCAGCTCGTTGATGCCACCTCTGGGCACAAGCTACTGAGCTTTATGTTTTTATAGATTGGGGACTGTATTGTTACAAGGTCATGCCCTTCGGCTTAAAGAACGTTGGGGCAACTTACTAGCGGCTAGTCAATCGTATGTTTTTCGAATAGATCAGAAAAACGATGGAAGTCTATTTTGATGACATGCTAGTTAAGTCGTATGTCGCTGCAAATCACATAGCGCATCTCGCTGAAATGTTCGATGTGCTCCAGAAGTACAGGATGAAGCTCAACCCTCTCAAGTGCTCATTCGGGGTATCTTTAGGAAAGTTCCTAGGGTACATGGTTAACCAGCGGAGAATTAAAATCAACCCCGAAAAGATCAAAGCCATCCTCGATATGAAAAGCTCCACCAACAAAAAGCAGGTTTAGAGCATGAACGGTAGGATAGCGGCTTTAAGTCGCTTCATATCAAGAGCAATAGATCATTGCTTGCCATTTTTTAATGTGTTTAGGGCCAACAAGAAATTCGAATGGACTCTAGGATGCGAACAGACCTTTCAGAGTATAAAAGAATGCCTCGGAATACCACATTTCCTGTCTAAGCCTCTTCCCAAGGACATTCTACTCTTAAACTTGTTTGTCTCCCAACATGCGATAAGCGCAACTCTCATTCGGGAAGAAGATAGAGTTCAATAGCCAGTGTATTACGCGAGCAAGTGACTGTTGGACGCCGAGATGCGGTATCCAGAAATGAAGCGATTAGCTTATGCCTTGCTGATCGCCTCTAGAAAGTTGCGACCCTACTTCTATGCCCACATAATCCATGTTTTGACCAACTACCTGCTCAGGCAAGTTCTTCAGAAGCCGGAGGCTCCGAGTAAGTTACTTAAATGGGCAATGGAATTGAGTCAATTTGATCTACATTACAGACTAAAAGCAACCATCAAGGGGTAGGCTATTGCCGATTTCATTTTGGAATTCTGATGCT